CTCAGCTGTTCATACCCTCAGAGTCATAAAGCTTGGTGTACCAGGGACAGAGCGTAGAGTCGGGGAATATTCAGGGTTTATGGAATCAGGAGAGAGAAATTTTTCAGCAGAATTAACAGTCATGTGATAGATGTGCTCAAAGTTGATAGGAGTGGAGATCAGACCGGAGTGATGATGAGGGGATGGATAAGGGAAACCTGGCTATCAAAAACAACAGAAAGAAGAAATAAAGGCAATAAGGTAATGAAAATGGATTCACTATATGTGACATATCAGACAACATGCACATAAAAAAATTGAACTTAATCCTTAATGAAATACTTTTAAGTCTTAGAAAGTTAAATTTAGTAATTCTCTTAGCAGTATTTAAAAGCTAATTTGTAAAAGATCATTCATCTTATAAAACTATTCTCTTTTATTAGCAGTCGAGTTAAGTGACCAAAAATTGGACATTAGAGATGCAAGGTTTTCAGAGTTTAGATCAGTATTTTCTTATGTGATACAATCAAAACATGGCAAAAATCTACCAAAAAATCTATCATAAAGGATAGAAAAAAAAAACAACAGTTAAAGAAAAGGACAAGTGAACCTATAACTAGCTTCTAATTGAAGGTGCTTTTAAAAATCATTTCTTGGTATTTATAATACTTGTGATATGTTTACTCTTATTTTCTCTTTAACAAAAATAGTAACAAACATAAAAGGCAAATTATTGGTTACTTTTAAGCAGTATAAGCTTCTCTTAATTTATATATTCAAAAGAACACATTTGTTTTTGCCAAGGAAGAAACTATCCCTTCTTCCCTTCAATGTTCAGATGTATATTTAAAATATAAAGTAATGTAAGATTACAGTTATAGGAAAAAGCTTTTGAAACCAAGAACACTATATTTCAGATAATATAACTTTTGAATATTTGGGAAACATCACTTAGTGCCCACTTTCTCTAATGGGAATTTCAAGGCTTAATTATTGACGAGTAAGTGTTTCTGTAAAACATCCTTCGATCCCTTCACTTGAGACACAGGCTGGTAGCTTGCTGGAGACAAGGCAGCATGAGTATAGCATGGCATTTAACTTATGGGTTGAGATGAGACTGCTTTGTAAACAGATCTGTTAAATTATCTACTCTTAAAAGAAAGGCTTCTCTGTAAAACAGGTTTTTAATTTAGAGATATGAATGAAATCAGTAATTTCCAAGGTTTTTCCAAAAAGGAAATCATTGATATAAAAGACTATAACTTTGATTTAAGAAGCAAAATTACTTTTGAAAGCCCTACAAAGTCATTGAGCTAGAAGTTTTATCCTTATTAATCATTTTAGGGAAGGGTAAACAATTTATATGTAACTAAAATAACTAAAAAAAAAAAAAAAAACACTAGGAAATGTGCTGAAAATCAATCATCTATAGGTAAAAATATAATTCTTGCATTCAAGTGAAAAAAAAAAAAAAATCTGTCCTTTATTGCCAGCTATTGAAAAAGGAGTCCTGGTGTGGTGCTGTGGGTTAATGCACCAGTCTGCAAAGCTGTTTGAACTGCAAGGTCGGAAGTTCAAGCTCACAGCTACTTCTTGGAAACTTTATACAGGGTCGCTATGGGTTGGAACCAACTTGATGGCACTTAACAACAACAACAACTAATGAAAAAAATAATTGATAAAAAGGATTCAAGAAAATAAATTCAGTCTGTATTTCTATGACATACAGGTCATCTTGGACTATTTGCTTACATTATCTTGGCTCATCAAGACACAATGAAAAGTTCCCATCTGATATAGGAGCAACAGAAAAAAAATACTATTTATAACTGCCCTTTCTATTTCATGAGACAAACAATCCTATTTCAGTATCATTTTGGTACAATGGAAAACAGAATTAAACTCCTATAGGCATCCAATAAATTCTCTTAGGTTTTCATAGGAAAGCAATATTGATCTTAATAAGTTAAAACATGAAAAATGTCTGGGATACATGCTCTTTGCTTGTACAACTTACAACACATGGCTTCAGTATTTGAAAGCTCTTCTTATATATGTCAATATTACATCTTTACTTTTGGCAATAGTTCATTAAATTAAGATAATTTTATCTTAGCAGAAAGAAAATGCTAAAATCTGAGAGTATATTCCAATATCACAAGCCTTTCAATAAACAGATATATATAGATACAGATGTGCATATTATAATTTTTTTCCTAAACATACATGCTACATTGTTGATAACTAATGTCTCCTCTGAAACAAGCTTGACTCTAGGCACATTGTTGTTAGGTGCCATTGAGTTGGTACTGACATAGCGACCCTATGCACATAGCAAGTGATAAAAAAGGTGTTTTAAAAGTGATTAAATAAATGCCAAAGACAAGTCCCAGCTTATACATCCTTTGCAAGTGAAAAGGAAAAAAGGTCACATGAAAATACTATGTTACTATGAAAAACAGAAATCCATACGCACGATGCATACATGTATATTGTTGTTAGGTGCCATTGAGTCGGTACCAACTCATAGCAACTCTATGCACAACAGAACTAAACACTGCCTGATCCTGGGCCAACCTCACTATTGTTGCCACGCTTGAGCCCATTGATGCTGCCACTTTGCCAATCCACCTCCCTGAGGGTCTTCCTCCTTTTCTATGACCCTCCACATTACCAAATATGATATCCTGCTCCAGTGACTAGTCAGTCCCTCCTGACAACATGTCTGAAGTATGAGAGATGAAGTTTACCCATCCTGGCCTCCCAGGAGCACTCTGGCTGCACTTCTTCCAACACAGATCTATTGGTTCTTTTGGCAGCCCATGGCACTTACAATATTCTCCTCTAATACCATAACTCAAAAGCATCAATTCTTCTATGGTCTTCCTTATTCAACTGTCCAGCTTTCACATGCATATGAGGTTATTGAAAATACCATGGCTTG